CTCAGGGGCTGGGGGGCAGGGGAGCCCCGGGCCTGGCTAATCTCCTTCTCACTCTTTCATGGGGTCAAGGGGCCTGGCGCTGCCATCCCTGCAGCCCACCCAGTGCCTCAGTGAACATGGACATTTACACGTGGCTTCGGCACCTTGACATTCGTTAGGTGGAGTAAACGATTTACCAAAAATAAGTAAAATAGGTAAAATTAGTTTCTTAAGACTAAATTTACCTTTAAAGTTTAATGATCTGAAACCCACGAGAGCATAATTTTGGTCAACATATTCTCTTTTTCAATCCTGGTTTCCTCAGATGTTCAAGATTGCTGTAAATTACTTAACCTTTAAAAATGAAAAGTTATGGATATAGTAAATTGTCTGCGATAGCTGATCGCATGTGTCAACCTGACCAGGGCCCCAGTGCCGAGATTAAAATTATTCTGGTGTGTGTGTGAGGGCGATCCCGGAAGAGATGAGTCTTAGAACCTCCCGTGTGGGAGGGCATCACTCACCGCCCCCCACCAAGGCCTGGACAGAACGAAAGGGAGGCAGAGGGCACCCTCACGAGAAATGCGCGTGCACACGTGTCCCAACACGCCGAGAGAGGGTGTAACGCCAACCGGCGGTCCACCGCCCAGGGGAACCAGCGGTTTTCTTTCACACAGGTTCCCTGGCACACACAGCTGCAAACCAAAGACAGTTCTCTCTCCAAGCCAACAGATGGGTGTGGGCTCCCCGAGTTCCCATCAAACCTCTGGTGCCAACACTTGACCAGCTTCAGGAAGTGCTGCATCCAAGGTCACAGTCACAAACGCCATGTGGGGCAGAGTCATCAACCTGTGAGGGTCCAGGCTGGGGCTGGGAGGGGAGGGCCTGGTGTGGCGTGTACGCACCCTCACCAATACCCACGGCACTCTTCGTTACACTGTATCACCCTAACAGGGCACCTATCTCACGCTCTTACAAACATCTTAGGTAACAAATGTCCAGCCTCAGAGAACTAGGTAGGTTTTCCTTTTGCTTTTATTACAAGCATATAATATCAATTGGCAAAACACTGAATACAAGCTTCACTATCATAAAATCAAAACGGTTAAGCAATATTCCAAAAAAGATTTTAGATAAAAACTAGCCACCAGGAGTACAAAAAATTACACACCAACACAAAGCATAAAAAATGTAAACTTCCAAACTAAACAGTCAAAAACATGTGTCTGCAGCATCACCTCCACAATCCCCCAGAGCCCCCGATCTCCATGCGGGATGCCAGGGTCGGCAAGGGCTCTCGCCCCTGAACACTGCATCATACGGGAAAAATGGTTTTCTTGCACCCAATGAAGCTGTTGAAACAGACATTTACGCTAATGCTACACACGTTCTAGGGGTCACGTAAACTTCAGGCCCCCTTCAGATGCACCCACGGACGCAGAGACCACGTGAGCTGGTGAGGGGCCCGGCGGTCCCGAGGAAGGGACAGAATCTCAGTGATGATTGTGGTGTCGCTTGAATTGTTTTCTAACCGACTTATCCCAACCTATTTAGTTTGTTTAAATACCAAGGCAGAGAAACACATTGGTTTATCACGCTAAGGTCACATGTGATGCGCCGGAGTGTAAATGATTTCCTGAGGAAACAGAGAAACTGAACTTTTTGTGATTTATCTGCACTAAATGCGTTTTCAATGTTTTGAGAGCACATCAAATATTCACGTACAAAGTAGAAATCAGCTGGCTTGTTCCTATGATATTCAATCCAATGACACACTTCAAAATCACTGTAAAATCCATCCTGTGGGCTTTGAAGAAAAAACAAACGAATTTCTAAAGACCTCAAATGCCGTGAGGAGGCATCAAGGCCGCACGCCCCGGCGGGCTCAGGAGCCTGGGAAAGTAGCACCGTCACATCTGTGGTCGACACGGGGGGCGCGTCCTGGGCCACCAGCGTGCGGGGTCTGAGGCACGAGGCCAGTCTAGGCCACACGTCAACTTGCGGCCGCTGGCCTGTCACTCACTCTTACCGATGGCCGAGCCCCCTGCACAGGCCCACGCACATTCCCAGCAACAGTGTTTTCAAGAGAACGACGACAGAAAAGGAAAACCGAAGGGCTGAACGTACACGTTCTGAGAGTCCGCCTACACTGCCTCCATTCGGCGGAGCAGATGCCACGGACAATCCATGTACGTGTGGTGCCGCCCGCGGGAGCCTATCGCACAGAAGCACCAACCGCTTCTCATCCAGGTAACACAAAGCACACGAGTCAGAAGCTACTCAAAGCAAAAAGAAGCTTGCAGCACGCCTCACAATTTTATCTTATATGCCTGTAAATAAAGCTGGACCACTGAAACCAAACAACTGGATGGGAAAATAGGATAGAAGGCTTAAAATAGAATAAATAATTTTATAAAGTTAAGTTTTCTTCTTTTTAACCCCCCAAATCTTAAATTCAATATTATATATTCTATCTGAATCTCCTATTTTCATGACACCTGTACCTAGTGAGACCCTGTGCTGCTGACGAGCCCACGCTGCGGATGAGGGTGCCGCTCGGTAACTGACAGCGTTTGTTTTACCAGCATAAAGAGCTGTGAAAACTACCTCACAGAAGCTCCATCTGTGAAAAACAAAAGACAAACTTAATAGGATCCAATCACTAACTGATCCTGGCTTTCATGCTGGAAAAGATAAAATCCTGCCGTTGATGTTAAACGGACACGAGAGGAAAGTGAAAGTTGCCCTCTGCCGGCGAGGCCCCCAGCTCCGTCCCCGTAAGGCTGCGGTCAGACCGGAGGTGGCGGGAACAGGGATCTCCTGCAGTGAAGACGGTCTGCACGAGGACATCTTAGAAAAATGGGTACTTCTGCTGCTGAGGTTTCATCAGGGTAACACGGACACAAACGCAGGATCAGCAGGTGGCCGGGGCCCAGTGGGGATGGTGACGCCAGCTCTGACTCATCTCCACCTCTCTGTGTATTAAGTACGTCGACTTAGCACCATAGCAAATTCAAGTGATTGCAAAGATAGCTGCGAAGTTACAAATATATCCTATGAGATTATACAGCCAGGTTCATCTTGATCTGACCTGTGAATTAATTTTATCTGAATTTGGACGCTCACACTGTTTAATCCTTCCTTCCTTTCATCACACAGGAGAACACCTAAATTCTAATGGTACATTTCAACTGCACTGAGAACACACGGTTTTACAGAACGCTTCAGCAGAAATGTGTATTTGAGGTAGACAGGTAATACTTAGCCATACACATCTACTCACTGAACCCTTGAATAGTAACCCTAACAAATGATCTGGATGAATAGCAAGCTCAGGTAACCGAATAATTCAAACAGTCCCGGGAATAACAGGCTTAAAGAAAGAGATGAATTTTGACCAATTCCTAAGAAAAACTTGGTTGTATGTTTTTGAAAGGCCTTATACTAAAACCACTTGGATTGACTTAATTTGTTTTTCCCATCACTAAGGGAGCTGCCTCTGACACCTGTAAGTATGAAACAGGAAGCCGAAAACAAACAAACAAACTTGAATGTCGATGAGCCCAACCACCACTTCCAAAGCGAGTTCGAGAAAAATTCTAGTCACCAAGGTGAAGTTCTTTGTGGAAAACCCGGCTCACAAGCCACCGTCAGGACCACCTACCACACGAGGCGGCCCCAGGACCCCAGGGCCCCGGTGATGCAGGAGGTGACAGAGCGGGAGGAGCCCAAAGGTCAGGCAGAAGCCACCGGACGCGGACAGGGACGGCCACGGAGCGGGGACCAGCTTACCACCCAGAGAAGGCCCGTCTCCTTGCTCCTGTCTTTACACGTTCCAAGTTACTATCTTAAAGGAACAAAAATGGATGTGCTGGCAGAGTTTATTCTCCAATTCCACAAAAATATTAACATTTGGGAGGAGAGAGGGCTAACAGAGGGTGTGCTGCGTCTGCCCGCGCTGGAGGTCATTAAGTCACCGGAAAAGCTGCTTGAGCCGCACAGGGGCCCGCCCGCCCGCCCGCCCTCTGTGGCTCTAGCGTGCCCGCCAGCAGCGGCCAGAGTGTGCCAGCTGCTCCACGAGAGCACGGTGACGTGCCCACCTCTGAAGGCGGGCGTGGTGGGACCCGGGGTCTGCACACGTGGGGCTTTGGTGGAGACACGCCCCCTGGGCACCAGCCCCGCCGCGGACTGGGGCGCCGTCTCGGGAAAGGCCCCCCGCCACCACCATCAATCTCTTCAGCAAAACAAAAATGGGAAAGAATAAGCGGGAAGTTAAACGACGGCACTGAACGACTTGTGCCCTATTTAAGAGAAGCAATTTTTGAGAACAAGAACCGTTCTGTGAACTGTCGTCTTCCGGTCCGCCCTGCTGACCGGGCGGGGCAGCCGCATCGGGGTCAGGGTGCAGCCCCCCAGCTGGGCTGCGGCCCCCGGGAGTCAGGGCGGCCCTCGGCTTCACGTTCCCTGACGTGGAAAATGAAATACCATGGTTAACTCACGATACTCATGGAAGCCTCTTTTGGTATGCTTTTAAATTAAATTTTTATATATCTTCTAAGTCTTCAGGAAGCTAAAGGCCACATAAATATCGTCATTCACCGTGAAAAGACATTTTGTCAATAACTTAGGAAGGATTCAGTAAACGTACAAGTATTTTGGGGGCTTATCGTGAAACCTAATTCATAAACTGAACGGAAGTGACCGAGATTTTCAAGACCTGGAAAGCAAGCAAAGGTCACGGGTCGGGACGAAGGCCATCGCCACACCCTCCTGCTGGCGCAGAGGCGGCCCCGGCCGGCCGCGAGGCGAGGCGAGGCGCGGCGAGGCGAGGCGCGGCGAGGCGCGTCCGTAACCCTGTGCCGCAGCGCCTCGCGAGTGTGATTCTCATACAAAAGTGATAAATATTCTGTGTTCGGGACCCAGTCCAAACGGTGCCCAGGGCAGCATCCTACGCGGTGGCGGCCCCGCCTGGCTGCGTACTCGCGGGGCGCCCGGCGGCTGAGTCTCTGCTGTGCTGCGGCTCACAGCAGGTCCATCTTGGGTCTGTAGTGCAGCAGGAGCGGTGCTTTCTGCAAGACAAGGGGGCGAGGGAACGGCACCGGTGACCCCAAGGGGACAGACTGGCGACGGTCCCACACTCGTCAGCTGCCGAGCGTGAGCCCCACGCCCGGTCCCCACACCTGCTCCTGCCTTTTCACTCTGGGCCCCACTCGCCCTCAGACCTCGGCTCCAGCTGGGGTTGTCGGCTGGGCTGTCTCTACCCTGCTCCCAGGCAGCCCCTGAAGATGGGGTCCCACTCATCTGCCTCCTGTTCCAGAGAGAGGCGCTGCGGCTCGAGGGGACGTGTCCTCTGACTGCAGCGGCCACTCCCTCCCAGGACGTCGGTCACCTCAACCAGGAGGGGTGGGGCGAGTCAGGGCCTGGAGACCATGCCTTCCCCGACCACACAACTCTGAGGCCGATGACTTCAGAACGGCTGCATTCCTGACTACCCCGTGCCTGGTCTGGTCGTTATTCCTAAACTCCAGGAAACAGATGTGCCCACAAAAGCAGCTGCTGTTCCGAGCAGATTCTGAAAATCACATACAACGTATCACGTCAAAGTCTCACCTTGAATCTCCACCTTGTAACAACGACGAATTTGAGCGTGTGGTCCTTGCCAAGGATCTCCTCGTTGCATAAAATGTCCAGCTGGCGGGAGAACAAGACCTCGGTCAGCGGGGCCAAGGGCTCGGCGCTCAGGACACGTGGTCTCTGGGGCCGCAGCAGTCACGCCAGTCGCTGAAGGGCCGCCTGCCCTCTTTCTGGGGCAGCACAGCTGGGAGGCAGCGCCTGGAAGGCCCAACCCCCCCCAGGGGGCCCAGCGCACCGGGGGGCCTCCGTCCGCACACAACAAGGCAGCGCCCCCGTCACTAGAGAGCACGCTGTCCCCCAGCATCCGTCCCCTCTTGGCCGGGTTTGTCCCCTTCACCTCAGTGGAAAAAGGTAATGGGCTCCACAGACAGCTTCTCCCTTTTGAGTTTTGTTTTTTGTTTTTAATTTTATTTATTTATTTATTTATGGCTGTGTTGGCTCTTCATTTCTGTGTGAGGGCTTTCTCTAGTTGCGGCGAGCGGGGGGCCATTCTTCATCGCGGTGCGCCGACCTCTCACTATCGCGGCCTCTCGTTGCAGGGCACAGGCTCCAGACGCGCAGGCTCAGTAATTGTGGCGCACGGGGCTAGTTGCTCCGCGGCATGTGGGATCCTCCCAGACCAGGGCTCGAACCTGTGTCCCCTGCATTGGCAGGCAGATTCTCAACCACTGCGCCACCAGGGAAGCCCTCCCTTTTGAGTTTTAAAAGACTTTTTAGAGCGGTTTTAGGTTTGCGCAACATTTCACAGAAGGTAGAGTTCTCATGTATCTCCTGCCCCCACCTCACAGCCCCCTCTACCATCAACAGCCCCGATGAAAACGTTTGTGACAACCGATGACCCCCATCACCACCCGCAGCCTGTGGTTCACATGAGGGTTCACGCTCCATGTTGTGCCTTCTGGGGGTCCAGACAAACGTAGGACGACGTGTGTCCTCCGTGACAGCATCACACAGAGTAGTTTCCCTGCCCTAAAAATCCTCGCTCTGCCTGTTCATCCCTCCCCGTCAACCCCCAGCAACCAGTGACCCTTTCACTGTCTCCACAGTTTTACCTTTTCCAGAATGTCATAGAACCGGAGCACACAGTGGGTAGCCTTCTAGACTGGCTTCTTTCTCTCAGTCATATGCACTGAAGGTTCCTCCGTGTCTTTTCATGGTTTGATAGCTCCTTTCTTTTTAGTGCTGAGTAGTATTTCTGTCTGGATGGGCCACTGTTTACGTATCCATTCACTTTCTGAAGGACACCTTAGCTGTTTCCAAGTTTTGACAACTACGATTAAGGCTGCTATAAACATCTGCGTGCAGGTTTCTGTGTGGACATAAGTTTTCAACTCCTCTGGGTAAGTACCAAGGGGCTTGACGGCTGAATCGTATGGTGAGCGTGGGTTTAGTTTCGTGAGAAACCACCCAACTGCCTTCAGAGCGGCGGCACCGTTCTGCGTTCCCAGCGGCAGGGATGAGGGTCCCTGCTGCTCAGCATTCGGTGTCGCCAGTGCTCTGGATTTCGGCCACTCTGACAGGTGTGGAGTGGATCTTGTTGTTGTTGTAATTTGCATTTCCCTGATGACAAATGCTGTTGACCCAGATGGTCTTTTATTTTTATATTTTCTAGTTTTATTGGCAGCACCGCACGGCTTACAGGATCTTAGTTCCCGACCAGGGACTGAACCCGGGCCACCTCAGTGAAACTGCTGAGTCCTAACCACCGGACCGCCAGGGACCCCCCCAGATGGTCTTCTAACTTCTCTCTCAGGGCAAGGGAAGAAAGGTCCGGCACCTGTGTCTCCTGCGGCTGCCATGGAAACACCATAACTTTGGGACGTGTAACTCCAGAAACGCAGCCTCAGAGATCGGTCTGGGAGTCCGTGGGCTCGCACCTTCTGGAGTCTCTAGGGTTCCCTGACCTGTGGCTGCATCCCTCCAACCTCTGCTTCCATCCTCAGGTGGCCCTTCCACTCTGTGTCTCAAAACTCTCTCTACTCTTTTCTCTGTGGGTATCAATAGTTCATTCCTTTATATTGTTAAAAAAATTGTGGTAAAATACACATAAAATTTACCATCTTAACCATTTTTAAGTGCACAGCTCAGTGGTATTAAATACATTCATAACGTGCAACTGTCACCACATCCATCCACAGACTTTTCATCTTGTAAAACTGCAACTCTGTCCCCATTATAACTTCCTATGCCCCTGTCCCCAGCCCCTGGAAACCCTGATTCTACCTTCTGTCTTTATGATTATGACTCTAGGGACCTTGTATAGTGGAATCAGACAGTATTTGCCCCTTTGTGTCCAGCTTATTTCATTTGGCATCGTGTCCTCAAGGTTCATCCACGTTGTAGCAGGTGAGAATTTCCTTCCTGTTTGGGGCTGAATATTCTATTGTATGGACGGACCATATTTTGTTCATGTATCACCTTTTGCCTACTGTCAATAATGCTGCTACGAACATGGGGGTACAAATATCTCCTTGGGGTCCTGTTTTCAATTCTTTTGGGTATTTCTACCCAGAGGTGGAATTGTTGGTGTTCATGGTAGTTCTATGTTTAGTTTTTTGAGAAACCCCCGTACTGTTTTCCAGAGCGGCTGCACCACTTTACATCCACCAACAGTGCACAAGGTGACAACCTCTCCATTTCCTCACCAGCACTTGCTTACTTATTTTTTACAGTAGCCATCCTACTGGGTATGGGCTGGGTCTCATTACAGTTCTGATTTGCATTTCCCCTATGATTAGTGATGTTGAGCACGTTTTGTTTTGTTTTGTTTTGTCTTGCGGTTCGGGGGCCTCTCACTGCTGTGGCCTCTCCCGTTGCGGAGCACAGGCTCTGGATGCGCAGGTTCAGTGGCCATGGCTCACGGGCCCAGCCGCTCCGCGGCATGTGGGATCCTCCCGGACCGGGGCCCAAGCCTGTGTCCCCTGCATCGGCAGGTGGACTCTCAACCACTGCGCCACCAGGGAAGCCGAGCATGTTTTCATGTGCTTGTCAGCCACTCATATATCTTCTTTGGAGAAATGTCTACTCAAGTTGTTTGAGTTTGTGTTGAATTTTAGGAACTGTCTATATATTCTGGATAGTAATTCCTTGTCAGAAATATGACTTGCAAACACTTTCTTCCATTCTGTACAGTTTTTTTTTTAATTTCAAGGAAGTCCAAATTGTCTATTTTTTCTTTTGTTGCCTGTGCCTTGGGTATTCTATCCAAGCAGTCACTGCCAAATCCAATGTCATTAAGTTTTTGTCCTATGTTTTCTTTTAAGAGTTTTATTGTTTTGGGTTTTACATTTATATCCTGATGCACTAAAAAAATATATATTTATTTACTTATTTGGCTGCGCTGGGTCTTAGTCGAGGCATGTGGGATCTTCCTTGCGGCACGTGAGATCTAGTTTCCTGACGAGGGATTGAACCCGGGCCCCCTGCATTGGGAGCACGGAGTCTTAACCACTGGACCACCAGAGAAGTCCCTTGAATTAATTTTTGTATATCGTATTAGGTAAGGGTCAAACTCCATTATTTTGCATGTGGATATCCAGTTTTCTCAGCACCATTTGTTGAAAAGACTGTCCTTTCCCCATTGAAGGGTCCTGGCACCCTTGTCAGAAGGCAGTTGACCACACACGTGTGGGTTTATTTTTGAGCTCTCTACTCTGCTCCATTAGTCCGTCTGTCTTTACGCCGACACCACACTGTTTTGATTAGTGTTCTCTTTAGAGTAAGTTCTGAGTCCTCCAGTTTGGCTCTTTTTCAAGACTGTTCTGGCTATTTGGGTCCCTTGAGAGTCCATAAAAAATTTAGGATGGATTTCTTTTCTTTTTTTTCTGCAAGAAACATCTTTGGGATTTTGATAGGAATTGCACTGAATCTGTAGGTTACTTGGGTAATAACTGACATTTTAACAATATTAAGTCTTCCAATCCATGAATGTGGGATGTGTTTCCACGTGCTTGTCTTTCTTCCAGCAATTTTCGTAACTTTCATTGTACAAGTCTTTCACCTCCTTGGTTAATTCCTAGTATTTTGTCCCTTATGATGCTGCTGTAAATGAAATAAGTTCTGTAGTTTCCTTTTCAGATTGTTCACTGCTCGTGTACAAAAATGCATCTGATTTTTTTTTAACATCTTTATTGGAGTATAATTGCTCTACAATGGTGTGCTAGTTTCTGCTGTATAACAAAGTGAATCAGTTATACATATACATATATCCCCATATCCCCTCCCTCTTGCGTCTCCCTCCCACCCTCCCTACCCCACCCCTCTAGGTGGCCACAAAGCACCGAGCTGATCTCCCTGTGCTATGCGGCTGCTTCCCACTAGCTATCTATTCTACATTTGGTAGTGTATGTAAGTCCATGCCACTCTCCCACTTTGTGCCAGCTTACCCTTCCCCCTCCCCATGTCCTCAAGTCCATTCTCTACATCTGTGTCTTTATTCCTGTCCTGCCCTTAGGTTCATCAGAACCATTTTTTCCCTAAGATTCCATATATATGTGTTAGCATATGGTATTTGTTTTTCTCTTTCTGACTTACTTCACTCTGTATGACAGACTCTAGGTCCATCCACCTCACCACAAATAACTCAATTTCGTTTCTTTTTATGGCTGAGTAATATTCCATTGTATATATGTGCCAATCATCTTTATCCAGTCATCTGTCGATGGACACCTGGGTTGCTTCCATGTCCTGGCTATCGTAAATAGTGCTGCAGTGAACATTGTGGTACATGTCTCTTTTTGAATTATGGTTTTCTCAGGGTATATGCCCAGTAGTGGGACTGCTGGGTCGTATGGTAGTTCTATTTTTAGTTTTATAAGGAACCTCCATACTGTTCTCCGTAGTGGCTGTATCAATTTACATTCCCACCAACAGTGCAGGAGGGTTCCCTTTTCTCCACACCCTCTCCAGCATTTATTGTTTCTAGATTTTTTGATGATGGCCATTCTGACCGGTGTGAGATGATATCTCATTGTAGTTTTGATTTGCATTTCTCTAATGCTTAATGATGCTGAGCATTCTTTCATGTGTTTGTTGGCAGTCTGTATATCTTCTTTGGAGAAATGTCTAGTTAGGTCTTCTGCCCATTTCTGGATTGGCTTGTTTGTTTTTTTGATACTGAGCTAATGCATGTGATTTTTCCGTTGACTTTCTATTCTGCTACCTTGCCGAATTAATTTATTAGTTCTGACAGGTTTTTTTTCATGTCTGTGTGTGTGGAATTTTTAGGGTTTTCTACATATAAAATCATATCATCTGCAAACAGAGATAGTGTTTTAAATTCTTCTTTTCCAATTTGGATGTGTTTTATTTCTTTTTCTTGTCTAATTTTTCTGGCTAGGATTCCCAGTATTATGTTGACTAGAAAGGGTAAAAGTGGACCTCCTTGGCTTGTTCCTTATCTTAGAGAAAAAGCTTTTGGTTTTTCACCACTGAGTATGATATTCATAACGGTATTTTCATGTATGGATTTTATTTTACTTTCATATATGGCTACTCTTTCTAGTTTGTTCAGTGTGTTTATCATGAAAGGGTACTGGATTTTGTCAAATGCTTTTTCTGCATCAATTGAGATGACCGTGTGGTTTTTCCTTCACTCTGTTGATGTGGCATAATTATATTAAACAATTTTCATATACTGAACCATCCTTGCATTCCAGAAATAAATCCCACTTGGGCATGCTGTGTAAAACCTTTTAACCTACTGAATTCTGTTTGTTAGCATTTTGTTGAGGATATTTGCATCAATGTGCATGTGGGATATTGGTCTGTAGTTTTCTTTTCTTGTAGTGTCTTTATTTGGCTTTGTTATCAGGGTTACGCTGGCCTCATGAAATGAGTTGGGAAGCGCTCCCTCCTCTTCGACCTTTTGGAAAAGTTTGAGAAGGATGGGTGTTAATTCTTTAAATGTTTGGTAGAATTCAGTGAAGCCATCAGGTCCACGGCTTTTCTTTGTTGGGAGATTTTTGATTAGTGATTCAATCTTCTTATGAGTTATAGGTCTATTCAGATTTTCCATGTCTTCGTGATTTAGTCTTGATAGCTTTGTGTCTCTAGGAATTTGTCCATTTCGTTTGGTCCAATTTGCTGGCATACAATTGTTCACAGTGATCTCTTATCATCTATTTCTGAAGAACCAGTAGTGATGTCCCTACTTCCATTTCAGATTTTACAGAATTTGAGTCTTTAGTTCATCCAGCTGAAAGTCCGTCAACATTGCTGACCTTTTTGAAGAACCACTGATTTCCTCTATCGTTTTTCTATTCCCTATTTTGTCTATTTCTGTTCTAATCTTTATTATTCTCTTCCTTCCGCTAGCTTTGGGTTTAGCTTACTCTTCTTTTTCTAGTTCCTTAAGTTGTACATTTAGGTTGTTGATTTGAGATCTTCCTTGTCTTTAAGGTAAGTGTTTATAGCTATAAATCTCCCCCTTAGCACTGCTTTCACTGTATCCCATTAGTTTTGGTACGTGGTGTTTTTGTTTTCATTCTTCTCTAAGTATTTTCTAATCTTTGATCCGTTGGTTGTTTAAAACTGTGTTGTTTCATTTCCACAATTCTCTGCATTTTCCAGTTTTCCCTTGGTTATTGATTTCTAACTTCATGCCACTGTGGTCTGAGAAGATACTTTGTATAACATCTATCTTTTTAAATCTATTGAGACAATTTGTGTCTGCCCTTCTCTTATAAGGACACTTGTTATTGAATGTAGGGCCCACCTGGATAACACACGATGGTCTCTTCATCCCAAGATTCTTTTTTACACGTCTGCAAAAATCTTTTTTTTCAAATAAAGTCATATTCACATGTTCTGGGGGTTAGAAGTAGACATATCTTTTGGCTGCGTCACCACTTAACCGACACCACTTAACATACTACAGTCTGCCTTCTGACCCAACAAAATCCACATCCATCCCACATGCAAAACACATTCACCGAACCCCAACAACTCCAAGAGACCCAATCTACTCCAGCATCAACTCCAAATCCCCAAATCTCATCTACACACCATCAGCTCAAAGTCCCAGATCTTATCTTCTAAATCACAGGAATCAGGTATGGGTGAGACTCTGGGTACGATGCCTCCTGGGGCAAATTCCTTTCCAGCTGTGGATCTGCGAAACTAGAAAACACATTATCTGCTTTCCAAATACAAGGCTGGGGCAGGATAGATATTCCTAGTCCAAAAGGGAGACACATTAGAAGGCATAAGGGATCATTGGTCTCAAAAAAGTCTGAAATCCAGCAGGGTAAATTCCATGAGGTTTCAAGACCTGAGAACACCTCACTGTGGGTCAAGGTTCTGCTCTCTGGGCCCCAGGCTCTGCCTTGGAGTCATTCTTCCTTTTTCTTTACGGGTAGCTCACCTTGGCAGCTGAGCAGTTCCATCAGCCTACTTCCCGCGTGCAGAATTTTGGAAGTCTGATAGCCTTCTCTCATTTCTTCCTGTCTCTGTCCCCTTCAGTACGAGTTGGTGGTGTTTCTGCTGATAGCACATTCTTAGAAACCTTGTGAGTCTCCCATGTGTGTCAGAGGTCCAGGCTCTGCAGATCTTTCCTGGATAACTCCTCTCTATTCCGCCCATGAGATGGCTGAGCCACCATGAGTCAAACAACTAATCCCTTTAGCAAAAGACTGAACAGCTACACACTTGGCCTTCTCTCCAGAGCATGTTTTTCTAACAGTCAAACTCCTAATATTACCATCTTTTTGCAATCTGGATAGGCTGTGTCTTTTCAAAATCATCGAGTGGGGCTTCCCTGGTGGCGCAGTGGTTGAGAGTCCGCCTGCCGATGCAGGGGGCGCGGGTTCGTGCCCCGGTCCGGGAGGAGCCCGCGTGCCGCGGAGCGGCTGGGCCCGTGAGCCGTGGCTGCTGGGCCTGCGCGTCCGGAGCCTGCCTGTGCTCCACAACGGGAGAGGCCACAGCAGTGAGAGGCCCGTATAGCATAAAAAAAAAAAAAAAAAAAAAAAATCATCGAGTGCTGGTTCCTTTTTGCTTAGCAGTTCCTTCCTGAATTCATCTCTCTCCTCTGACAGGCAGCAAGAGGAAACCAGACCATGTCTTCGGCACTTTGCTTGAAAATGTCCTCAGCTAAATATCCGTGTTCACCACTTCCAAGTTCTGTTTTCCACACACCGCAGAACACAACTCAGCCAGTTTTCTGCCGCTGTGTAGCTAGAAGCACTTTTCTCCCCATTTCCAATTCTGTGCTCCTTCTTCCCTTCTGAGCTCTCGCCAGTAGCACCTTTAATACTATTTCCACCAACACTCTGTTTGTGCAACACGCGCCTTCAAAGGTGACGGGCGCTTTCTCCACCACGCTCCGTGCTTCCCTCTCGGCCGTCCCCAGAGTCACCTTTAATGGCCACGTTCATATCGACAGTCTCTTCAAGGCAATTTGGGTTTTTAAAAATCATGTTTCTCAAAATTCTTCCAACCTGTACCTCTTACCCAATTCCGAAGGCACTGCCACATTTTTAGGCATTTGTTACAGCAGCACTCCACTTCCTGGTATTGAAATCTGTTTTGGTTTCCCATGGCAGGTATGACAACGTACCACAAACCTGGTGGCTTAAAACAACAGGTACTTATTTTCTCACAGATGTGGAGGCCAGAAGTTCAAAATCAAGGTGCCGGCCGGGCTGTGCTCAGTCTGGAGGCTCCAGGGGAAGATCCTTCCTGCCTCTTCCAGCTTCGGGGGGCTCTAGGCATCCATTGGCTTGTGGCCGCATCACCCCAAACTCTCGTCTCTGTCCTCACACCACCTTCTCCGCTGTGCGTGTCTCGAATTTCCCTCCGCCTCACTTCTGTGAGGGCACATGTCACTGAATTTAGGGGCAGCCCAGATAATCCAGGATTATCTCATCTCAAGATCCTTAACTTCAGCATATCTGAAAACACCCTTTTTCTGGCAAAGACCACGCTTACAGGTCGCGGGGTTGGCTGTGGACACACATCTTTGTGGGGCCACGTCCTACCCACTGTTCTCTACAGCCCACCTCAGAAGTCGGCCTCATTTCTCCATCCTTACTGCACTACCCTGGCCTGTCTCTCCTGGGACTTCTGCCGCAGATTCCCCTCAACTGGTCGCTCCTGCTTCCGTCTCGGAACCCCAGCAGCCCACTTGCCTCACAGCCTCAGGGCTGTTCTCAACACAAGCCCCCGGCTTAAGGCCCCCCAGTGCCTCCTCTTGACACTTGCTGGTACACAGCCAGCTCCTGCTGACAGTTTATGTCTGAGCAGAAGTGAACGCCCTCAGGAGGGTTCCCCAACGACCCCTAAGCTGATGTGCTCTCACCCCTCTGTGCACCGCCCTGCTCTGCACCACTAGGGCACACGTTTTACTTTATTCTCAGCATTTATCGGAACTGAGTATCTTCTCAATCCACCCACCCGTCCTGTCCATCCCCATCCACCCATCCATCCATTTGTGAAACTGAAGAACAGAACTTCTCTTTGTGGTGAAAATATTTAACATATCCTGGGCTTCCCTAGTGGCGCAGTGGTTAAGAATCCGCCTGCCAACGCAGGAAACACGGGTTCGAGCCCTGGTCTGGGAAGATCCCACATGCCGCAGAGCAACTAAGCCTGTGCGCCACACCTACTGAAGCCCGCGCGCCTACAGCCCGTGTTCCGCAACAAGAGAAGCCACCGCGGTGAGAAGCCCGCGCACCGCAATGAAGACCCAACACAGCCAAAAATAAACAAATTAATTAATTAATTAAAAAAATATTTAACATATCTTGTTGCAGCCCCCTTGGCATTTCCTCTCCTCTAAACAGTGGCTTCCCGTGTTTGTGGGCTCTGGGCCTCCACTGTCTTCACCGCTATTTACTATCACACTATCTGGGGGTAGGCAAAACAAATTCAGATTTTTTTTTCTGATTGAAAATGTCCAAACAGGACTGTAAAAAGCAAACAAACCCAAAGAACTTCAGGAGTATCACTTTTACAAATAAGAAGTGACTCGTTATAGTTTCTATTTACCTCGTTGAAAGACGAGAGGTTGAGTTTTTTGGCAATGAACTTCTTTAGGTGCAGGACTGTGGCCTGGGCTGAGCAGCGGATCCATTTCCGTTTCAAGCCCCGCAGTTTGCTGCTGTTGCATTCCAGACAGATGCTCACCTTCAAGAGAAAGGACACAGCTGGGCAGGCTCATCAAGGGGGACCCTACTGGGCTACTCACTGGAGGCTCTCTTAGATATCTACTGATTCCATTAAATCTAAGAATGCTGACTTTTTTGAAATCATAAATCTGTTTTGACCTAAACACCGCAGAAAAAGAATTTTACTTTAATCATTTTACACTGCCTTAAAATCTGTTTACTATTCGCCATTTTGTGAAATAAAAATCTAACACTATTTATTCTGTCTTATTAGCATAGTACTTTAAAGTAAACCCGAGAATTATTTATTTATTGTGGCAGCATGTCCTGGCCTCAGAGTTAAACCGACAAAGACTGGAATCCTGTTCTAAAAGCTTCTGGCCGGTGGGACACACACGCATCTCCCCAGAGGCTGTGCTAAGTGCTCTGCAGAATGACAAGGAAAGACACGCCACACACACGGCAGGCACCACGGACCCTTCATCGAGGAAGGTCTCCAAAGGAGGCACATTATGCTCAGCCTTGAAAAAGACAGCAAACTCACTAGAGAACAGTGTACTCTGAGCAAAGGCACAAAGTCTGAAGCTCACAGCTCTATTCTGGAAGATGGAGTTCAGTGGGATTAGAGTACTCGGTGTGTGACAGGAACTTCAAGACAACAAACTAAGGAAAAGTGATTCTAGGATCAGGTGGTGCCTGGCAGACGCAGAAGGGAATCTGCTGAGGAGGGACAGCCCTGGCCACAGTTGAGAAAGTCCCACCTCAGATACCTCACCTCACTCACAGGCAAGTAATTCTCTAGCAATAGCCACAAAAAATGGCACAAGCAGAACCCCCAAAATTCAGACAAAAGAATTAACAAAGGAATTAACTGAAATATGTATGTCTAAAATTACTAGAGGTATGAAAGAAGGAATTAAAAACATAACACACTAAGAATAAAGAACAGGCAGGTATAAAAGATAACCAAATGTAACTTCTAAAAATAAAGAACCTATTCACGGAAATTAAAAATTCAATGGATGGTCAAATCACAGATTAGTCTCAGCTGAAGGCCGATCAATTTTCTGAAAGATCAATTTCAGCAAATTATCCAAAAGAAGTATAGAGACAAAGATATCAATTAAAATAAGAAAACAAAAGAAAGGTAAGAGACGTGCAGACAGATCAAAGAGTCTAACAAACACATCACAAGAGTTCCAGAGGAAAGAAGAGAAAATAAGGGAAAGGCAAAATTTGAGAAATCATGACTAAGGATCCCCCCAAACGATCAAAGACATAAGTCCTCAAATTCAGGAAGTAAAAGAACCCAAAACAAAGGAAGTAAGAGGAAACCTGCACCCAGACAGACATGGCGACCCCTCAGAACACAGGGGGCCAAGGCCCAGGGCAGCCACAGAGGTGGGCCCACAGGCAGGGCTGGCGCTCAGGCCACTGAGCCTAGACCCTGAGCCGACAGGAAGGA